TCTTATATATGCAAGACTACCCCATATTTAGGAGTCTCCCGACGCTTCATGAACGTTCTAGAAGCGCGTGGCGAATTATAGAGTCACGTGACCTCCGCTGTCGTATCAGTATATACTTTTTATGTTTTTATTATATTTATTTAAGAATTATTTTTGACTTTTAACTTCATGGCAAGACCGTTACCTGGATGCACGGTAATGTTACACGAGGAAGCTGATGACAATCTTACGGGAGATGCAACTATATCAATTCCAGCTCAACTTTACTGACAAAATATCGACCTCTTCTGCACTAGTGAAGTGAGGTAACCATGAAAGACCTTTATCGATGTTCAGAGGGAATGATACTACTGGAAAACAAATTATGGCATATTGTAGCTAGGAAAAGCTAACTATGGGGATTCAGTATGATAGTATACGCCAGAAGACCAATCGTAATATCAGTAAAAGAACTCTCTTCATATGAGAGGTCAATGTCTGTCGACATATCTCCTGAGACTGTAAACTAATACTCAAAGTAATTTTTAATTACAGTCTACAATTCTGAAAAACTGTATCTCGGGTGGAAAAAAAATCCTTATTCGAAGTGGAATTTTCAATATAAATTTACTTTAACTCACTGATAAAATGAGGTTTGTATAGTTTGCTAGAATATTTATCTACTAAGTGTTATAGTTTTTCTCCTAATAATGTGGTTACGCGGCATTTATACATGAGCTCAATTTTATTGTCACCAGAGGAAAGGCCTGGCATGGCCAGGTGGTTAGGGCGCTCGACTCTCAGTGCGAGGGTCACGGGTTCGAATCCCTGTCATACCAAACATGCTCGCCCTTTCAGTCATGGGGCGTTATAATGTGACGGTCAATCCCACTATTCGTTGGTAAAAGAGTAGCCCAAGAGTTGGCAGTGGGTGGTGATGACTAGCTGCCTTCCCTCTAGTCTTACACTGCTAAATTAGGGACGGCTAGCGCAGATAGCCCTCGTGTAACTTTGCGCGAAATTCAAAAACAAAACAAACCAGAGGGAAGTTAAAAGGAAAATAGCTTGTAGGTGCACAGTTATTAGTAATGATGATTGATGTCAGTAATAATAAAGTAAGATGGAATGGTTTATTCTTATATTGTACTCTAAGTTAAATATCTTATAAAATTTTAATATGTTTTCAGTAAAGAAATTCCGTTTTACGAGAAAGCTGTCCAAGAAGGTTTACATTTATCCATATATTTATTTTTAACAAACTAATTCTTTAGAAATGAACCCTGAAATTTCTCTTTTTTCATCGTGAGTACTTTATCATAGTTGAGTATGCTATGTTACAACGATTTTAAGTATGCAAATTAACAAGTTGGTATAAAATCGCGGTGGAATGACATGTATCAGAACTACATTTGGACAAAATCTTTGAAACAGCTATTAATGATATAACTGTTATTTGGGTACAGTATTTCGTCTTTAACAGCAAGACGTGTTCACGTACAGAATTTAAAGTACACATGATATGTATATATATATATACATTCAAATTACATATGTATCCGAGTAAATAATCTTATTTAAGGTGGTTTTATCTCCATCTTTTTCTATGTAAATTATTCAATACAAACATAAAGGTCCTCTTGATGCTTTGTTTGTGTTAGGTTTTAATTGTTTGATTCTTAATGCTTCCAACTTTTTCTTTTGTTTGGCTTTTTGTCTAAATGAAATATATTTGCATTTTCAAAAATTACTTTGTTGTTTTTTAATCATATGTTCATTTAGGTTCGATTGTTATCATTTTTTATGTCCTTTACATCAAGTCGTTACTTTCTTATCTATTTGACCTGTATAGAAACCTTTGCAACTTATTATTCTATTTTATACGTCGTATCATTACCAAATCCTTCATTATAATAAAAATTTTGTTTGAAAACGTTTTACCTTTGATTCTTGATTTAGTTACTATTTTTAGTTTATAAATTTAATATGTGCTTATAATGTTTGTGAAATTGGACTATTGAAACGGGTGCTGAGAAACAGTCATCCTGCAGGGCTATTGTCAATATGCATGGTTTTCAGATAGAGCATGACCGGACGTGGCATCATGGACTGTAACGATTCTTCAATATCATTTTAATATAATATACTCAATCATCTGTAAGTGTAGTATAATTTAGCCTTGTTTTTTAGTTAAATAATTTCGGAGACTTGTCAAAAATTACATAATTTATGTATTTCTTTGAAAGAACGTTGTACTTAAAAAAACAAAAAACTAGATAACCTTCTTTAATGCTCCAGATTGCAAAATATCGGAAATCGAGAAATATATATATAAGTATGATTAAAAAACATTAATGTATCAAATAAATTGGATATCCTAATAACTTTGCAAGTACTAAAATCTTGTTTATTGCCCATAATGTTTTATGATTAAATAATTGGGATGAACAAGTTGCCTGAGATTGCAAACGAGTCCGTTATGTAATAAATCATCAGTTCTTTATCAAGATAAAGAAATGGAAACATAGACCTTTTTTTAATCCTTCTTTACTGTTAAACTTTACAAGTGAGAGTAAAACATCTATAAATTATTTTTACAGAAACCGACTTTGAAAGGATGTTATTGGTTACTTATTTCTAGGTGAAAGAGTGTCATTTTTATTTTCTCAATCTATTTACCTAAACAACTTGTAAAACTTACCGGACAGTAGTTAAGTAAGTTATCAATTGACTTCAAATCTGTTACAATGATTTAAGAATGAATAAACAATAAATGCTCGTTAAGCTTGGTAGATCCATTTCGTGAAACTGTATTCCATTCAACTGAGAATTTTATCTGCAATTGATTCACAGACATCCACAAGGATAACAGAGTGAATACAAGGTTCAGATTCATCCTAATAAGTACACTCAATCAGATTATGATACAGTGATTGTGCTGGACGAGGAACGTCACTGAATCCACTGATATAATATTCACACCTGTTATGGTGGATTGTTGCATTATCGTATTGAATGTTCCTAGACTATCAAGGTGGAAATGCAGTATCGTATGACAGACATGGTTGGCAACAACATTTAGGTACAGTCTGTATATAGTTCACTACTTTAAAGAAAGGAATCAAAGGAACAAATCCCTGCCACTAGAACGAGTCCCAAACAATTACATTCAGAAGCTTGTACAATCAGTAAAAAACAATCAGGCTCAAGTGCCTTTTGTAGTTTTATTAATATTTGTGCTCTGCTGTTAGTACAGAAAAAGGTGAAACACAAATCAACAGACCATACAACACACTCACTACCATTCCTTTAATTTTTCAGTGCACTTTTGAAGCACCAGTATAGTCATGCTTTCCCAGTTGAATCAAAGATGATAAATTAAATTTTAGAGTAGTTGTCAGCAGCAATATGGTTGTTTATATATATATATTAGATGTATCTGATAGAGAAAGTTGAATCATGAATACTACTGAAGAAATCAATCTGTCAGGAAAAATTCTGATGTAACTGCTCACCCTAATAAATTTACCATATTTTGAGCATGAGCAAATGTTTTTCTTTACCTGCTTACTATTTACAATAATACAAGACAAGTACAAACACTCAGCTTTATGTGTACTGGTTCATGGTACTTTTGCATCATATAAATATTATACATATTCTGTACGTTGACAACAAATGAAAAACATAATAAGAAAAATTTAGTATTAACCTCAGAAATGTCAATTACAATTTTTATCAAGTCATTCTTATCTTGACAAAATTCTATGAGAATGTAGTGAAGACATTGTGTGTACATCATAAACAACAATTAAAACGAAGATAAACTGGTATTCTTCTAGTAAATTGTGATCTTTGCATGTCTGTTTTCTAGAACCATTTGTAATTGGAACGTTTTGTACTTTTACTCTGCATGAATGAGTGACTCATGATTTCTTCAAAGAAACAAAACTGTTTTGATGATCCCTTCCAATTTTTACCACATGAAGGTTTGTGAGACTTGTATAATTTACTTCCTGTTAACATTATTAATGGTTTATTTTGAAAACAGCAGCTCTGCTTTTATAACAAGTATATAACTTTGCAATAACTGGAAAACAAACATTAAATTTTAACTATCCCATTATTCTAGATCACTTAATACCATATCACAATTAATAAGAGGAGCTTGTTAAAAAAAATCATTAATAATATTTTAAGTACATTATTTGTGCAAAAAATCTATATAATACTTGTTTGTTTTTTCATTTAAAGGAGGCACAGGGAGTGATGTTCTAAAGTACAGCGCAGGTTTGAAAATCACACTTTCTTTAAATACTTGTATATCTCTTTTAGTATGTGCACTCATTGTTCAACAGTCATTTGTACACTTGCAGCTCAAAACATAGAAAATTCATTTTTTCTTCTAGTGACATGTTTTAAGAAAAAACAGAATGAATTAATAGCTTGGTTAATCTCCACTTTATTGCTCCATACACATACCAGTAACTTTTTCCATTACTATACTACTAAATTGGATTTATTCAATAGCTTTATGCATTTTTATAAGCTAAAACTATCAATCAATAACACCGGAAACATTTTCTTTCTAGCTGCTTTAGGCATCTTTTCTCTTCACAATCAGAGGTCCAACATTATCTCCAGTTTCATTATTATGTTCATTGTGGCTACCATCACAGTAAGGAAACTAAGAAAAAAATACAATACAAAACTATATTACCATGCAAGAAAAAATTAATATACGCATCATATACTTTGGTATAAATCAATTATTTTAAAACATTTGTGGTATTTTATAGCTTTTGTAAGAAACAATCCTTGAAAAAATTATCTTAGTTGTGAGTAACTATCACAATCAGTAACCTTGTAGTGCAAGAAAGTTTGTGGATATGTAATAGTGTAGCTTCCTAGATGGTATTTTTTCCAGAAACTATGATGTAACAAGAACAATTAAAATGGATTAGCCATTCAGTTTAAACTGAAAAAAGGAATCAGATACAGCTTCATATAATGCACTTTTTCTCTAACTATTAACCTAAATGCTGGCACAAATAAGACATTAGTTCAGAATTTCCTCTAGCAGTAAAACAAATTCCAAAAAAACAGAAAATAAAAGTTGCATGCAGAAAAGCAATAACTTATAGAACAGGGATAGAAATAATGAAATAAAATTACATTCACTCGAGGGAAAGCTATCAGGAAGATTAAATTTCCCCATGTAAAGTTGCATTTCCTAATGAATTGTTTTTTTATTTAATCCATGCAATACGTTCACTTTCATTGGTCACAACTAAAGGAATATGGATGGACCATGCAATCCTAATCAAGAAAGCCAACTAAAAGATGAAATTCCTAAAGTAAAGTAAAATTCCTTGGGAGTGCAAAAATGTAATATTTCAATCCCTGTAAAAGTTAGTTTAAACATTTGAATGCTATTTTTACAAGTTATGTGTTAATGAATTAGTATGCAGATTTAGTGTGTACAGTGAGAATATTAATAGAACTGTAATGTAGACTGTACTTACTACTCAGCAATCTCATGGAAAATAAAAATGTTTAGAATTATTCTGCACTTTACCAATAAATTTGAATATTCAACTTCACTGGAAGTCAAAACTTGCATGTAGAGAGGCTGAAAAAGTTGCTGTTTCATGTTTAGTATTATTATATTCAGTACTTGAAGTGAGGCAGGATACTATCCCACTTCTTTTCAAGAGGGTCTGAAACAATCAAGCTACCTTTTAGTAGACTTGAAACTGTTCTAGTACCTATACAGATGCCTAGGACTATACTAAGTATCTTACCCTCTCTTTCCTCTTCCTTTTGCACCACTACAGGTGAAAAAAATGTGACACAAAGTGATAAAAATTCAAAGTGGCTATTTCAGGCTGATACATGTTGGCTTAATTTACAATTACACACAAACAAATTAGATCTTTTTTTTTTACAATACAAAAATTTCACAAACCATCCCACTTCCTCTTTTCCCCCACTTCATGCACTGAATATATTTTAAAACTATGAATTTGTTACAAAAAATATTCTAAATCAAAACAAATTGTAAATCCAGATAAAATCTTTTACTTTTTTTCCTTCCTTACATTATATACTAATTGATAAAACACTAGCAGAAAGATATAACAGTTAAAAACATGACAAAAAATATCGACATGCAGTATCAACTTTTATAGATAGCTGATAGTTACTATAATATTTTTTCAAAACATCTTTAAATGTTATAAACAATTTTGTAAAAACCTTTTTTTCTTATGCTAGTTTTTTTGCAAATAGAAAACTGGATTTATAGTATAATGTGCAAGTACTTAAATATATATCATTTGATACAAACATTAGAATTTATAAGTTACAGTTTAAATGCCAAAAACAGGCAAAGCTTTGCAGCCAAATAAAATGCCTAAAATTTGTGATAAAAATCACACAAGCTGCAGTTTATTTTTCACATTCCTTTTAATTTGTCCACATCAAATTCAAAATCACAGGTGTGTTAAAATTACATTTCAGATCTTTTTTTTTCTCCCACAAGTCATTTCCAAAGAGGTCTTTTATTTAATACCAGAACTTGTCAGCTGAAATTGAAAATGAGAGAAGATTCTCCCCAAACTCTACTTATATATGCAGTATATATATATTTTCACATTTATGGTTTAAATGTCAAAAGCTAACAAACATTAAGAAACCAACAAGCCTAAACAGTTTTCATGGGATCCACTGGTTACAACCAAAATGACACAGACAGAACTGGATATGTAAAAAGATATATTGATATCATGAAATGAGAATTAGTATTTTAGAATGAAAAATTAATTTTTCTTCTCTACAGGTTATAATTACTGTGGAACAAGTCCTCAACCTCTCTTGGGGTTTTCTTTTGTTGTTGTTGTTGTTGTTTTTCCAAAGAAGAAGGGAGACTGAAATCCTGTCATAACTCTCTCCTTCTTGAACCAATTTTTAATCATCTATTGATTCAAGAAGGGGAAGTATAAAATATGATAAATACATCTGCTCCTGCTCATTACCCAGTGTCGAGACTAGAATGCAATGAAATATTGTGGTTTAGGGCAATAATAATAATTTCCTACTGTGCTGTTCCTTCTCTAAGAAAGAATCATGTCAGACAGATCAATCCTACTGTCTAATCTGCAAGAAAAATTAAAACAAAGCAGCAAAAGAAACCTCAAGATAAGAAAGCTTACATAAAAAGACACTGTAGTCAAAAGTTGAACATAAAGATGTGGCCAACACAAATTCAGAGGGTACTTTGATAAACTCCTATAAAAATTAACAATTATGTGGAGAATGCTACCTGTTACAAGTACATTAACTTGCAATGTCAATTAATGATATTTATATGCTTGAATATATATATATCAGAAAATTAAAGTATATTCCACTTAGCTCATCAACAGATCCACAAAAGGAGAAGAAAATAAGCTACAGAAACTTGAATAAGACAAGTAACTTGAAGAAATGTGTTAGACAGAGATGAAAAATTAATGTTTGTAGAAGAAACGAATAAGCTAGTTAAATTATGTATCACAACAGGTAATTTATTATTTGTGCTGATATAGATTTATGATGTAAATGATTGATGGTGGAGCAATTTCCATAATTTAATGTTTGTTTTGAAAGAAAAGTCACAAGGTAGGAAGATCCACAGTAATAACACAGAAGGAAATTAGTTTCATTTAGAATTGTAGTAACATCTCAAATGATTATTCAACCATATGAAACTATTTCTGTATTACATATATAACAACAAAAAGCACATGAAAAAAGTGCTGCTTAAACTCATAATTGAAAAATGAAGATATAAACACACAGTCGGGTAAAGAAGTTTTATTTGTTTATAAATACTTTTTTGCCATATACCTTAGTATAGTTATTAGTTTTTCATCAACTAAATATTTATATATATATATAAAAATTTAAAACGGCTCTTTACAAGAATTTAAACATCTGCTTGACACACTAACTAGGTAGTTTGTACAATCGTATACACTTAAAAACCATACACTGCTGAAAATCAATTATATAAATACTGGAGAACATTTTTTTGCAACTTGATAAAACAAAATGTGTCTTTAAAGAACTATACCCACAAATATAAGTGCTACTACAGAAAATATTTAGACTACTTTGATTTCCTTGTAAATAAAATTTAAATAGTAGCTAAGAAAACTATCACTTGTTTATTAGTTGATACTGTGAAGTTCTTGAGTTATGAAAAACCAAAAAGATTAAATCAAATCTAAATTGTATTTCTATCTCATTACCTTGCTTGACTTCCAGCAGCGACAGAATGCTGTTTTAGTTCCAAGGTCTTCAATATCCATAGAATGTACCACTTTTGGGCAGTCTTTCTGTATTTTCTTGTTTACATGTTTCTTTGCAGGTAATCTAGTCACAAACAAAGCAAGCACTACAGCAGTCACAGTCCCAATCCATGGTAATACAGGAAGCCAATCTTTCCCTATATCAAAATAAGATGTATTACGTGTAAGAAATGTCCAAACATATTGATACTATTAAAAGAAGAAATAAAATACAACCTAATACTCTAGAAAACATAACTGGTTTTACTTAAGTGAACATTTTGCCATAACTGCTTCATCAGGGCAAACAAGACACTTACTAACTGACTGAGGCTTATACAAAAGATTTCAAAATAATACGAGTCTGCCCAGTAAGATGGACTCTGCCCAACAGTATATAAACAAATTGAAAGTACATGAAAATAGACAAGATTATACTATCTAAAGCAGACATATGTTATTATACCAACTAACTATAAGCAGTAAGAATTAAAAATTCCAGGGCAATTTTTGGTTTATTTGTGGCTTATTTTCTGGAATTAGTAGAGCTTCTTTGTATTTTCTATCTGTGAGTAAGAGTGTTTGCTGTTATGGGACAATCAGTATCAATTATACCATGTCTGTAAACAAAATTTTCAGCCACAGCACTGGCTTTACTATGTAATGTATGCAGAACTCAAAGGTGTTCGTTAATTCTAGCCCTAATAGTTCTGCCTGTTTCACCAATGTATATAGAACCACAAAGTTTGCATGTCAAACTATACACTACATTCTTGTGATTACAGTTACCTTTTAAACCTGATTTACAACCAGCACATTTGTCTGTAGGTTTATTGCATATTTTGGGGTTGAAGGTTGATCTCACTAGCATATTTTTCAAGGTTGTAGCTGGTTTCTCTGTAACTCTAATCTCAAGACCTGATTGTCTGCACACCTGTCTAATATGAGCTGATATCTTAGGAGTAATATATGGTATAATGAAAATTGTGTAAAATTGATTTTGTTTCATGTGGTAATGTTTATGCATTGTTACTGTAGACTCTGTTTTCATAGCTTTGCAAAGTCTTATCAATAAATGTCTTAGGATATCTATTAATGTTTAATTCAAGTTCTTGTACAGCTTTGGATTTACCTTCGTTAGTTGTACAAGTCTTATTAATATGGTTTAGTTGACCAAAAAATAGTCGCACGTTCAACATGTAGTGGGTGGTGTGAGTTGTAATGTCAAAACACTGGTTTCTCACAAGACTTATGATACAGTTCTGTGACAAGTGCCTGAAGATGGCACAGTAAAACAGGTCAAAACATGTTGAGTGTATGAGACAGTTTCCAATATCATCGGGGTTTTTTCTGGTCGTAAGTTTCTGAATTGATACTGCTTGTTTTACATGTGCATAAAAATCTAGAGGAAAGATTACTGATAATGTGGTCAAGAAAAGGAATAGTTACTGTTTTCTTAAAATAATCCTCTATGAAACTATATTCCACATTTACATGTTGGGCTTGTCACTGACTATCTCGTGGCATGCTAACATTAATATTATATTTGTTTGCAATATTACTGTTGTACTTGAAGATACAATGTAAATAATCATCTACATTCAATGTTAGAGAAGTCAGTTCTTTACAGTATTGTTCTATAGGGAAAACACCAGAAACAATGTCTTGGCTTGGAACCAGTTTCTTTCAAATAGTAAAGGGGAACATTGTAAAGTTGTTAAACAAAAATGAATTCAAAAGATTCCTGTATTTTTAAATAAGCCATAGCATTTTTCTTATCTTCAGCAGTCCAATTGTCATTGAACATTTCAAAATTATCATCTCCATACACGATAACTTCAGACATGTGAAGTAAGAATAGATGACATAAAAATAACCTTTCCCAACCTTCAATATTCTCAACCCAGCATGTAATGCACACATTGAGAAATGGAAGACATGATGAAGCTGTTCCATGCTGGATGCTCTTTTGATAAATTCCCTTTAATAGTTCCCCATGTTTAGGTGAGGATTTAATCCAAATAGTTATTTCTTTAATGTCACTGATACAATTTTCTATTGGTGGAACTGAACATGAATATACAATAACAAGATTAAGTGATTGACCCACACAATAAGTGTACAAGGCCTTGCTTTACATAACTCAAATTTGTATTTGGACACTAGATCTTTTGCCAACTGTTGTGGATGCTCCATCATATCCTTGACCACATAATTCATTTAGAGATAATCCAATATCAGTAAACATCTTTCTAATCGCAAATACATATCTGTTGCTTAGAATGGTTGCTTAAAGTTTCTCTAATTTTTACCCAGTTGTTAAATTCTTAGCTCCTTCGTTGTATGAAAATAAAAACCTACAAAATGCATTAAATCTCAAACCTACAATCAATTTATAATTTTATTTCTGTGATACAATGAAACTTACTTGTGCTCAAAACCACGTGTAGCTGTTAAATACACACAACTGTTTAAGTTTAAACTTAATGCAAGCGTTATGATTTGAACAGTTTACATAGCACGGGTGTCATATTTAGTTATTTTTAGAAATGAGAGTTTGTAGCAAGTTTATGTAATTGTTTATGAATCATACTTTGTGTAGAGTGTATATTCAATTGTTATGAGTTAGCAATTGTTCTATTATTGCATCATGTTATTAAAACTTTCAAAATTTTCTCACTATCTTAATTGAGTATTATTGCACGGAATGTTCTAGACTTCTGTTGGGGCATAAATATGATTTAGATCTAGATGGCATGATTGGGAATTTAGTAATAAAAGCATATAGTGGCAATTTTGAAAGCGAAATTTTCACAGACTGTATTGTAATAATAGAGCAGAGAAGTATAATTTGGTTTGTAAATTGTGTTCTAAAGTAATTGAACCAGCCTATCTGAACTTTGATGAAAAAGAGACAATTATTTAAAGCTTTAGATACAACTATGATACCCAACAGTGTAATAAACTTTAATATGAACATTTTACTTGTTTTAATATATTATTTTAAAACAAGTGGACTATGTTACTCTTTCTTTATTGTTGAAATTTATTGGAAACAAGTCACAGACACCTACCATAAAGAATCTTGCCTACAAAACCTAACAGTAGCAATATGGCTTTGGGCTTCCAATTACAAAGTGTCAACAGAAGCCACTGCATGCAAATATTGAAAGCACCCAGAACATGACATACAATTAAACGAACGTGGTGCATGTGGGCCCAGTTCTGTCTCCAGTTTTCTTGAGAACAACAAATATGCGGGAGTAAAAACTTGATGAATGATGAAGAATAGGTTTGGGAGCCTGTTGAGTGAAGAGGTCTTGAACCACCTCTGACAGATACTGACAAACAATGGGATCCTGAGATGGAGAGAAGGAAATGGGTACAAGAAACAAGGGAGGCATGGCAAAAAAATGGGATCTTGAATTCTTCCAACAAAACTTGAAGAACCCAATCATTGTTAATGAAAGGGCTCCACTGACACGGAAAGGCCACAAGTCAAGCTCCCATGGACCAAAGCCCACCAGGTAATCACCAGTACTGTGGTACCTCGAGAAGGGGGACAGGTAAGGGTTGGAAAGGGGGGAAGGACAGGAAACCATAATGGGTGACACACTTGGCTGTGACTGAAACAAATGGGCTACCAGATGAGAAAGGGTAGACTGTTGTACGAATGATGCCACCCAAGATTCTAAAGACTCTGGGATCGTATCAGAGACAAAACGCCATAAGGACGGGAAACCATAAAGGGGGTGACACACTTGGCTCTGACTGAGACAAATGGGATACCAGATGAGAAAGGGTAGACTGTTCTAATTCTAATGACTCTGAGATTGTATCAAAGATGAAACGCCATAAAAACGGGGCCATACATAAATCCCAGACATAAGGTGTAGATAAACAGGCCCTCAATAAGACAGCATCATGGCCCAGAAGGTCCAAACAACAGAGAAACCACATATGTAAAGTCAAAGCCAAAGATGACAAATGAGCCAATGTGGAAGTAAGGAGGAGGAAGATGTCCCCAGAAAATCACTCGGGATTTTTGTGAAAAGCCTCAGATAGGAGATGAATAGTGAAAAGACACTACAAAAGAGTCCTGATGGTAAGATATAGGTGAGAAAATTGGGTATGGGTTAAACTGATAGGAGATTCGGGGCCCGCCCCACAAATATGTAAAACCGAACCTAATGGTTGCTGGTCAAGATAAAGACAGTCTGCATGATGATAAGTGAGGGCAGACTGATCCAAAGACAATGGGGGACAAGGAATGCTAACACCGTCATTCAACTGGGAGGCAAATTGTTCAGCATGGACCTGAATGTCACGGGAGGGGTGGAGGTGGAACCAAACAAGGTTGGGAAGAATGTTCATGCAGTAAGAAAGGAAATGGGTCATAAAAAATAGGGGTGAGCACATACCTGAGAAATAAAGCCAGAAAAAAACGAGAAAGGCCAAACTGAATCCTCAGGAAAGTTATGGAAAGGCACGGCAAATTCAGGAGGTGGAAACAGGCAATCAAAGTCCTCGTCAGCTTAAATAGGTTCAACATGTTCAGGAGGAAGTGGGGCAATGTTAGGAGATAGAGGTTGACTCATATAACATTCATTCTCCTGGCAAATAAACATTAATATATCAAAGTCCTCATCAGCTTAAATAGGTTCAATATGTTCAGGAGGAAGTGGGGCAATGTTAGGAGATAGAGGTTGACTCATATAACATTCATTCTCCTGGCAAATAAACATTAATATATCTCCTGTTAGGTCACTGAGGCCTGAGATAAAGTGCCTGTTGAAATTCAGACACCCAAGTGGTGACATTGAGTTTGGAAAGGTGAATGTATAAAAAAAGGCAACTATAGTGAGTTAAAATTAAGTATAACCACTTTGAGAAGAAACTGTATCTCAAACTGTTTAAACTAAGTCAAAAATAGAAACATCAGAAAGCTTGTGGCATGCGTAAAAAAAATGTTTGCATACAGAGGGCAGCAATGAATGAGAAAAGCTAATCTTGTGAGTGGAGAAAAGTACCATATCGGAATATCAAATTACTATACTGGTACACATAAAACCACTGTAATTTATCTAACAATGTATCTAAGCTAAATGTAGATTGAAAAAGTCTCATTTCTGTTCAGAGCAATTACTTACTCAAAATT